TAACTAGTTGTAGTCGCTAGAATATTTGACAAACAGGGTTTGTTGTGGGAGATCTGGGATCGGTATTCTATGCGTTTTGGGTCAGGGACCCTCTGTGTGAAAGCTATAACTAGTTGTAGTCGCTAGAATATTTGACAAACAGGGTTTGTTGTGGGAGATCTGGGATCGGTATTCTATGCGTTTGGGTCTGGGACCCTCTGTGTGAAAGCTATAACTAGTTGTAGTCGCTAGAATATTTGACAAACAGGGTTTGTTGTGGGAGATCTGGGATCGGTATTCTATGCGTTTTGGGTCAGGGACCCTCTGTGTGAAAGCTATAACTAGTTGTAGTCGCTAGAATATTTGACAAACAGGGTTTGTTGTGAGAGATCTGGGATCGGTATTCTATGCGTTTGGGTCTGGGACCCTCTGTGTGAAAGCTATAACTGGTTGTAGTTGCAAGAATATTTGACGAAACCAAGTTTTGTTTACAAGTCTGGGACCTGGGTATTCTGTGCGTTTGGGTCTGGGACCCTCTGTGTTCAAGCTATAACTGGTTGTAGTTGCAAGAATATTTGACGAAACCAAGTTTTGTTTACAAGTCTGGGACCTGGGTATTCTGTGCATTCGAGTCTGGGACTCTATGTTGGTTAAAAAATAAAAAATATTAGGCCTTAGGTGTGTGTGACTGTGTGAAAGTGTGTGAGGAAACAATCGAACCGCTGTGTACTGGACTAAATTCTTTAAAAATGGGACAAGGCAGTAGTAAGAAGGAAATGCCAGATGATGTTAGATGGATGGTGGCGTGTTGTGGTGGTGACCCAGAGTTTGCCAGAAAGTGGATTGAGAAGGAGGGCTGGGATGGAAAGTTGAGAGTTGAGCCGCTGACAAAGATTCAGCAGAAGGTGGAGATGAAGTTGGTGTATAAATCAAAAAGAAAACAAGCTAAATACAGAAAAGAATTAGAATAGTTAAATAAGTGGATTATGCAAGCAAAAAATAGGGAAAGCCAAATACAACAGAAGAAGGACAGAAAGACAGTTACAATTGCTGCTGTAAAAGTTAAAGCTGATGAAGAAACTGTTGTATCCCGAATGCTTCCTCAATATCCTGACCCTAATCAAATTCAAGGGGGTGATGGGGTTCAAGCAGTGGCATCAGCTGCGCAGGAAGGTGGAGATAAACCCCATCACGGTGAATGTGAACACAGCCATGCCACTGTTCCTCCTCCAGTAGCCCCACCATCGTGTGGTGATATTGGAGGAGCAGGAGCAGGCCCCCTGTCCGTGTCGTCCACTGTGGATGGTATGGAACTCAGTGCCGCTGACCCTTGTGAGCATGAATTAAGAAAATCAGGGGGGGATGTGAAGCTTGATTCGAAGTGTTACAGGGATGATTATCAAGTGGAGGCTTGTGGAAGGGGCCCATCTGCCCCTATTCATCCAAGATTGGCTGAATTAATAAAACAAGAACAGGACCAAGATCCTGGGGAGGGAGCATGTGCTTTTCCGGTGTTGGAGGTGGCCAACCCTCATTGTGGTCAACGCACGGGACCCCAAGATGGTGACCCACTGGATTGTGGACCCACTGTTCTTGTGTGTGGGCCATGGACAGATGCAGAGATGCGGACTGCCTGTCAAGGTTTACCTCCAGCCAGACAGAACCCAGTTAAATGGTTCGAGGATGTTAAAAATAGATTGAGAAAATTCATGGCAGAAACAGGAAAGCCATGGGCAGAAAAAGAACAAGATGACATTGACCCGTTAACTAAGTGGATGCTGAAGCTTTTCAGCGACAAAACTGTTCGGAAAACATGTAATCTGCCTAGTGCTCCTTTTGTTTCCCCACAGGAAGGCCTGAAGCCTGGAGACCGAGTGCTGATTAAAATCATCAAAAGGAAAACTTGGAAAGCTCCGAGGTGGGAAGGACCCTACAAAGTGCAACTAACAACCCCCACCACTGCCGTGAAAATCCAGGAGAGAGACACTTGGATCCACCAGAGTCATTGTAAACTGATTAAAAACTTTCCACAGCAAGAAGCCCAGTTACTTTCACAGGGACCCCACGACTAAGGTATAGATCTGTGGTGAAGTCCAGCTTCAAAGGGGTTTGGTTTTTTTTAGGACCACTCGTCTCAACGCTGGTGAAAAGAACAACCTAACCCAGTCTTTTAGAGTCCGGTTAGTGGGTGTTTCCTTGGACGGACTGGCAAAGATCTGAAAAACCAAAGTGGTTATGCTGCCCGGTGATGACTGTTGGACCGGTGTTCCTAGGAACTCAAACTGACTGTCTGAAACAAAGGAAGAGCAGGATGATTTTTGATGGATCCACAGCAAGTCATCCTACAGTGCCAAGATGTGGTGGCAACATGCAAAACATGTTGCTGAAGATTTGAACAAAACAGACTGTTATGTTTATACTCATATTCCTACTTCTATGAATACAATATGAATTGAAAGATGCTGATGTTTTTATGTATAAGAGGAGGGAAATGTTAGAGTGATAACTATCCTGTGTTTCAACCAGAAGGGTCATAAACTTTTATGACCTCCTGTAGGTCATGAGGCAGAATCACACGGATGTGTGACTTCCATCCAGCCAGTTGGTCAATTCACACCATCTTGTTACCTGCATCCTCTCAGACAATGATTATTGGCTCTTCTGTTTTAGGCCCGCCTGTTTGATGTTGTAAACTGTTAATAAAAGGCTTTGCTATGAAGGGATCGGTGGGAGAAGGTGATGGCTTTCCAAGCCAGGATCTTCTCTCCACCCGGCACACACTGACGTCACAAAATCCTGTCTCTGTGTTGATCATTTTCCTTTTAATCTTTTAAACTCACATTTCTCTGGATTAAAACCCAACAAAGAGTTTGTACAAGCCCATTGGTAGGAGAAAAAGTAAGGGAAATTTACAACAAGAATACGAAGATGTTCCTGCATTGGGCCCAAGCCGCATTTTTTTTTCTAGGCCATTTTGACAGATATACTGACTTCATTGTTTAACAAGAGACTTTTAAAGTTCTTTTTTTTTTATTTAATTTTGTTTCTTTGACAGCATCAATTTTCTGTTGCTCTGATAAAAAGGCCTGCAATGCAAATATTTCATTTAGATAAAAGTTATGTCTTAATAATCTATTTTTCATTGCAACAATGGAGGTTTTAGCCATTGACTGGTAAATGAACCTAATATCACAATGTGGTATTTAAAAAGAGTAACTTAAAAAGATTTGTACAAAATTTATTTTTCAAGTATAATTCAATTAAAACTGCATTATATTAAATATAACATACTAGATCAGTTTATCCCATATGTTTGCTGTAAATAAATAAATAAATACATTTTCTTTCAAAACAACTTACTATCCATCTACTGTAATCCGAAGCCAACTGTACTAAAACCAAGCCCACATTTAAAGAAACGATACGCGTCAAAAACAGCTAATTACAGAAGCCGGGGGGTAATTCTGTTACTGCTGTGAAATATGAGGAGGCGAACATGAAGATCGAAATCCCCTAAGGGAGACACACAGGGAGAAGCAGAAGGAGAGAAAGAGAGGACAGTGAAAGGATTTATCTTTCTTTGCAGATGCAAAGTGTCTTCCTGGGTCTCCCAGTCAGCAGCTAGGGCAGTTTACAAGTCGAGGAATGGATTGATTGCCAATGCATCCATGTCCCTGTGTAGCTGCCAACTCTGAGCTAATTAAAGAACACTTCTCTGGAGAGACTCTTAGCAGCCTCCAAGTACATTTTATTTACTCTTGAGAAAGTGTACTACTGTACATCCCTTTTAGGAAAGAATGTTGCCAGCAATCCCAGCACAGTAGTAACTTTGCATTGTATTATGAAAAGTCTTAAAATCAACAGAGATCCATCTTTTCAGAAAATTGGCAATTCTTTTCATAGCTAGGACAAATTTGTCTGAAAATATGTATTTAGTGTGAATCAGGAGCCTGATCAGAGGAGCCCAATCAGTGGGAGATTACTCCTTCCCAAATGTAGGACCAACAGACTGCTGAACTCCTTTGTTCATCAAGCCATCAAGCTGTACAACCCCTCACTTGGGGGAAGGAGGAGGTGATAGGGAGAGGGGAAAGGGTCAGCACCCCCCTCCTTTGACATCTTATGCAAAACATTACCTATTGTCACTCATGTGCAACATTCTTCTCTCTCACTGTGCAATAACACATGCCAACTACTGTGAAGCCTGTGTAATTTTTTTTAAAGCTATTTATAAGGTTAGTACATCTCTGCAGTGCAAGTGCAATAACCCAAGTCAACTACTGTGTAGTCTTCCCCTAGCTCTCCGCTGTGCAGATATTTCTATATGTAAGGGAAAGATATTCCAGGACATTACAACTTCTTTCTTTTTTTGTGTGCTTTTTTGTACTATATACACCCTTTTTATATTGTATGTTTTATTTTTATTTTTAATGACATCTTGCTTTAACTCTTTTGTACTCTATATAAGCTGCTGGAACCACAATTTCCCTGAAGGAGTATTCCCAAGGGATAAATAAAGTTGAGTCCAAGTCTAATCTGGTTCACAAAAAAAACTATTTAGATTTATATGTGTTTATATACTTAGTCTGTTTCAGAAATCAAACAGACAATAAATGTAAATACATTTGATAAAAGTGAAAGGGACAATAATATATATTTTTTAACAGCTTATTTAATGTTAGTTGTGAGGATGCTATGAAAATGTTACAAATGTATGTTTCTCGTCATGCAAAGTCAACAGATATTAAATATTCTCTCCTGCCATTTTAGGGAAGATGAATTCTTTAAACTTTTAAGGTTAAAAGTTAGTTGATATATTTTACCACTTGTGTTTGCTGATGCAAAAATCATAGTTTGCATTGAAAAAAAAACACTGTTTTCATCAAGCCTCAATAATAAGTCAACTGTTTTTTGGATATTCAACCCTTATTTAATCCTTATTTAAATCTTTATCTCTACTCACATAGATTCAAACACAAAAAGCTCCTTGAAGCCGGTTTGCATGCATGCATCATACGTACCAGTGCAGGAGTATTCATCCACTCTGGTGAAACCTGGTAGGCAGTCACAACGATAACTTCCAGGGAGGTTCACGCACATTGTATTGGACTGGCAGTAATGCATCTGTGTTGCACACTCATCAATATCTGAAAGAACAAGTAGAAGTACCGGTAAAGGTAAAAAACTCATAAGAAATCTAAAACCTAAGCACCAGAAAATTATTGTTCTAATCACATCATAGCAGAAGGGTGCATCATGTTCCATTGCTGTAGCATTCAATGATGAATGGCAAGTCGCTATATTAACCCACTTATTAACTGGTCAATAATCAGCGCACAGTAGGTAATTTTTTAAAAACATATTCATATGTTCTACTGTTGTGACAAGTATGATAACAGAAAGTAGGTGGATGAGCTAAAACTGTGCAAAAACAGATTCAGAACAAAAATAAAATTCACAGGAGAAAAAGATGTACAGAAAAATAACGAAAAGGCTGACGACAAGAGGACGTTATAAGTCAGTAGGCCTGAGACATTAAAGAAGAGCATCATCTACATTGACATCCATAATGTGCAACTAATATTGTGATAAATTACACCTTCGCCCCATACACAATTCCCCCCTTCTTAATGTAGCTTGAAAGACATTGTATGAGCATTAAAACACGTGGCTCAGGAACACATTAGCTGTGCTGGATGGCTGCTGATGAAATGGGACGCGAATCACACTAGGGAGGTGTTATGCAGAGGAGTCTTGCTTTTTGTGTGTGCATATGTACGTAGTTGTACAGTTTAGAGCATTTATGTGCACAGTAGAAAACCAAATTCCTGAGGCTAACAGGCCTTTCTACCACTTAAGGGACTCTGCATGCCACACTTAAGGGAAGGAGAGTAAAGAGTTATTTCCATATCCATTCCTATGATAAATATCTTTTAGTTCAAGTTGCTCAGCTCAGACTTTGCAACTTAAAACAGGATGCATTTAAAATAACTATGAAATTGACTTGAATACAAGACCCAAAGCTTTTCTTGGTATATTCCATATCTAGAATCTAAACCACAAGAGAGATAAGTTACAGGGTAAAGAAGAGGCAGTGCATACTTTTAGGTGTTTAAAGCATTACTGACCTTCATAATAAAAGCTTACAATGCAAAAAGCACAAATCTAATGTGGGTGTTTGATTGTTTGTAAACACTCCCAAATGAAATCCATTCATTTGATAGCCTTTATGGGTGTAAGGTGCCAAAGCGTTGTTCAAGGATGATGGCAACTGGTTTGTGATATCGCCAACTCAAAGACCAAATAATTCAATGTCAAAGCTTTCAACTTTTGTCATCTTTGTTTATTCAAGTGAGAAAAGCATCAAGTGTCAGGCCACAGAATGCATCATGCTTTTTGATCTATTTGGTTCCAAGGTTCTGGTCCTATATGTATGCAACTGTGTATGGCAGCATCTGTAGTTGTGTATTTGTCCTTGGTAGCTTCTTCTGGGGACATTGTTGCAGGTGAGGTCTGTTGACAGAACTGGAACTGTCATTTTGCACAGGAGGGATTTAATTTTTTTTTTCTGGATTTGCCAATGCCTCCCTGGCTGCCTTCCTCCCTCCTCATCATCCTCTACCCCAGACCTCCACATCCTCCTATCCCACCCCCCTCTGAGCTCACTCTCTTTATCTCTCTGCTGCTTTATTCATGCTCTGATGTAGGTCAGGGCTGGGTAGGGGAAACAGCTAAAAATAAGGCAGGATGGGACTCTGTGCATGTGCATTTATGAGTGAGGGTGCACACATGTTTCTGCAAGCTCAACCCTCTCTGTGTGATATTCTCTGGAAAAACAGAGAAACTGTGAAAAAAACTGATTCTAAATGTCAAGTGTTGCTGTGAGGATGCTGTGAGGCAGTAACAGGAGGAGAAGGCTCATATTCCTTCATCCAAATGTTTCCTGTATGTGTGTATCTCAGTACCAACAATTTCCTATCAAGAATAAAATTGTCTTGTTCTTGGGGATTCTCCTTCATTTCTCTATGCAAATTGCATAGTTGTGACAGAGTGTGATTGTATAAATATAATCCAGACCTTAGCCGAGGAGACAGACAAGCAGACAATGTCCAATTTTTTTTGGAAAAAGTTAATTTCCTTCACAGCCCAAGAAATTCTGAGAGTAATTCCTTTTTGGGTCCAAAATATTGACTTGTTTTGTTTTCTTCACAGCTGCTACAGCTGCTGTGATTGGCTAAAATACACTCCTTGCATCCCTAAATACTTTCCTTGTTTTGGTTTTTATAACCACATCATGTTAAGTCTACCATAGTGGTAGCCTCACTTCTGCTCGATGGATGGATAAGCACTTTGTAAGATATTGAAACTTTTGTTTACTGTTTTACAACTCCTCTCTTCTTTCCTCAATGAAAAGCTTTTCCCTTGACCTGTAAGCTTTGATCAATAGTCTCCATGATACTGCTTAAACACAGCTCTAAGACTCTAACAGAGCAGTTCTATACATTGCATTTAAAGTCTTAATAGCTGACCTCTACGAATGAATTTAGGGATTTGTGACAGCAATTATCACAGTATATTTTTGTTGGGTATCAGCGTTAATGTAAATGAGATAAAGTGCATACAAACTCTGCATTAAAACAATAAAATCCTCTCATTTTCTTTCCAATTTGCATAAATTGCGATGATTGCTAGGATCAATCATATAAAATCCAAATAAAGACGTTGGAGCTTTTGTATTAATTTGCTACCAAGTCAAAAAAGTTTATTCTGTCAGTTTTTGTTTATTATTATTATTTCATTTTGCATTTTGAAGGAAAAAAAAATTGCAGTCATATGAAACTGTATTTTAATAAACTATATCTTTTAGAAATAGTGGGTATTATGGATTAGTTTTTAAATAAAAAATGAAATGTGTGGGGTCTTCAAAACATTATTTCGATAATCTTAAGTTAAAAATTGTATTTCTTTCACGCAGTATTTTTAACTGTGATTTAATTTTTAGTGGAAAACTTTTGAAGAAGAGGATTTTATAAATATATTATTTTTGCTGCCAACAATATATTCCCATTGGAAACCCCAAGGTTATGATAAAAAAGCCAATGGAGTAACCATACTACTTTGCAATAAAATCACAAGTAAAGGGTGCAAGGGGTGACATTATGTACGTATTGGCTTCAAGTCCAAAGCTTGAATTCCATAGGCCAAACTGGAGTGTTTGCAATGAAAGATAAGATAAAAACTCTTCAAAAAAATATTTCAGGCTGGTCTCAGTTCAAGCACATAGAAGACAAAATATTTGTAGATTTAAGCATGCTCCTGAAAAGCATGCCCTGTGCATTGAAAATAACACAGGATAACAGAATGGTATAGCTCTATCAGAACAATAGAAGGATGGAGGAGCAGAGGTCTAATCTATCTGTCACTGTGAAGCTCCAACAAGAATCTGGATGTGCCATTCCACAGCTGCACACTGACAATTTCAGACAATGTGAAGACTAAAACACAGTCCCTCCCTCAGACAGACCCACAGTTTAACTGAGTGACAGGTTCTTTGGTGTTTTTGTTTTGTTTTTTTACAGGATATTCTCTCAAGTATGTTTACTGAAAAGGCCTGGAAGCACACTCACTATAAATGTCTGTGCAGTAAAATGAACCCTTACATCAGTCAAGGTTAGGAGACACAGTACATAGTTTCATTTTCTTCTGCAGTTTACTGCTCAGCCGAAATTGTACTTCTATAAAAACAAAATCTTATTCAATGCAGAAAGATATGATGGATAACAAAAAAAATGACACAAACAAAGGAGCGCATTTGATCTGTAATAATCAGGGAATATATTTGACACACACAAAAAAAAAAAAAAACATCTCGCCTTGCTTTACAGTTTTTCTGAGTCCAGGTTTAACTATCAACATCTGTTCAGTCATGTACCTCAAGAATAGCAAAATGCACTGCACAAAACAAGTTCAAAAGGACATGCCTTGCAGCAAGATGGTCCTGGGTTTACTTCTATGTATTAACCCCAGTCACCAAAGCTATTTTATCTGGAAGGGATCAGTTATTGCCCTAGGACTGCCCTAACATGCTAAAATATGCATCACAAAGGTATCAGACCTTGCTATGATTCACACACATTAAATCTAACTGTTGACATTGTGAACAAGCTAACCAGCAGTATCCAAGCAAACAGCTGGGCATGTTGCCCCTGATTAAGAATAATAATGTTAAGGACATCAAGTATCAAACATGTCAAAGTGACTACAATTTTTGTATCAGAAACGATACCATCTCTTGTGGATTGGATCGTTTCCAAAAGCAATTTGGATATAATCCCTTTCGATCATATCAACCAAAAAAGAACAGAAACCAAGAGCATAGACAATGCAGCAGTAAAATACAGTGATAGTGAGGAGCTGTGAGCGATGTCACTGTGATATTAAAACTTCATCTGTATTATGCAAGAATCACTTGAGAGTAGACTTGATATTAGGGCATAAATATTTAACAATTTAATGTTCGGCAGCTTAATTAGTTTTATTGTTTTAGTGGCTTAGAAAAAAAGTTATTAATTTCGGTACATTTACTTTTGAAGTCTTGTAAAATTAACATTAAAATGTTGGGCAATCTCATTAGATTATGTTTCTTTTATGGTGTGGTGTGTGAGTATGATGTAGAAGAAATATTGTACCTCTTTTAGATAGAAGATAAAGCTTGAAATGTTGTGATGCTTAATGCACAGAGCCAAAACTTTACATACATTTAGAGGGTTTAAGAAAGTTGTAATTTATTATTAAAAATCGTATTGCAATTCTATGAGATAAAACAACACAAGACTAAAATCTTACTTGAACAAGTAGTAGTAAGTAAGAGTTTCTTTAAATAAAAATATTAAAGGTCGGGGCTTAGTCTCTCACAGAGATTTCCTTTTATTTGTGAAAAAGCTGAAGCTCAGTCAGATCCATCTGTGAGCATAGATTTTTATATCTAACCCTAGATCTTCAATATGGATTAGATCTATACTTTGACTAGGCCATTCTAGTGTATGAACTAGCTGTAATCAGTCTTGCTATCCCATTGGAAGGTCAAGCTTTACCCCAGTCTAATATTCTTAAGCTTCAAACTGATTTTCTTTCAGGATTTTTCTGT